AGGCACAGGGGCACCTGGGTGGCTCAGTCAGTTAAGCGTCGGACTTCAGCTCAGGTCATAATCTCACAGTCCGTGAGTTTGAGCCCCACGTCAGGCTCTGTCCTGACAGCTCAGAACCTGTTTCAGATTCATCTTCAGGGTCTGCTTCACATTCTGTGTCTCCCCCTCTCTCTCCCCCTCCCCTGTTCATGTTCTGTCTCTCTCTGTCTCAAAAGTAAAAACTTTAAAAAAGTTTTTTTAAATAAAAAAAAAAAAAAGATCCGGAAGGCACAGAGAACTCCCGTTAAAATCAACAAAAGCAGACCCGAGATATATTAGAATTAAATTTTCAAAATATGGTGATAAAAACCCTTCAAAGCAGGAAGACATCTTTCACTTATCAGGGAGAACCATAAGGTTACCTGGTGGTTCTTCAACAGAAACTTGGCAAGCCAGAAGGGAGTGGCATCATCTCTTCCACGTGCTGACTGGGAGAAATAGGCAGCCAGGAATTCTCTCTCCAGCAAGGCTATCATTCAGAAGGGAAGGAGAGACAGAGTTTCCCAGACAAGCAAAATCTCAAGGAATTCCTCACCACTGAACTAGCCCTGCAGGAAATGTCAAAGGGGAATCGTGAAGTGCAAAGAAGACACCAACAGTGACACAGAAAAAGGATCCAGAAAGTTTCTAGAAACAATGACAAAACGACTAATAAAGTGGCAATAATTACGTATCCATAAATACTTTCAATGAAAACGTACTATACATTCCAATCAAAACACATAGGGTCTCTGGATGGAATAAAGCAACCAAACAAAAACAACAAAAAATAAACCCCAGGCCCATCTTATGTGCTGCCTACAAGAGACTCCGTGCAGACCTGAAGACACAGATACAAAGTGAGGGTGATAGAGAAACCTTCCTCATGCAGATGAAGGTCCAAAGAAATCCAGAGTAGCAATACTTAGGATGGACAAACCAGATATTTTGTTCTTGTGTGGCAATTACCCCGCTTTGGTACCAGGGTAATGCTGGCCTCCTAGGGTTATTTTGAATGGGTTCCTTCTATTTTTAAGATTTTGATGAAGCGTGGAGAAAATTTGGTTTTCTTTTTAATGTTTGTTAGAATTGACCAATGAAGGCAAGAGGCTGTGGGCTTTCCTATGCTGGGAGGTTTTTTATTCCAAATTCAACTTGTATATTTGTGATGGTCTAAGAAGATTCCTTATTTCTTGAGCTCAAAATTCATTTCTCAATCTTGGTAACTTGTGCGTTCTTTAAGGTTACATTTTTTTCTACTTTGTCTAACTTGTTAGTATATCATTGTTGATAGTGATCTGTTATCACACTATATATTTCTGTGGTTATCTCTTGTGGGGTTTCTGTTTCATTTCCCATTTGGTGCTTGAGTTACCTCTCCTTTTTTCTTAGTTAATGGAGTTGGAGAATTTCCATTTTTGTTTGTTTTGAGAAACCTAGGCATTATTTTCCATGTTATTGTTTATTCTGGTCTCTCATTTCTAATTTTTAAGTTTTTAGTTTTCTTTATTTGTTTATTCTGAGCGAGAGAGAGCGCGCATGCAAGCTGGGGCAAGGGGCAGAGTGGGAGAGACAGCATCTTAGGCCCCTCACTGGGAGTGAAGCCCTACCCGGGACTTGATCCCACAACTCTGGGATCATGACCTGAGCTGAAATCAGGAGTTAGACGCTTAACAGACTGACCTGCCCAGGTGCCCCAACTATTTTATGAATTTCTATTTTTTCCTTGGTATTTCCTTCTCCTCCTGCAGAGCTGAATGTGGGGCTTGAACTGGCTAACCACGAGTTTGTGAACTGAGCCAAATTCAATTGCTCGAACGACTGAGGGGCTCAGGCACCCCTGTTGTTGTTTTTAATATTTATTTGTTTTTGGAAAGAGAGAATCCCAGGCAGGCCCTGTATGGACAGCACAGAGCCCGAGAAGGGACTGGATGTCACAAACCATGAGATCATGAAAGGAGCCAAAATCAAGAGTCTGATGCTAACCTACTGAGTCACCCAGGCGCTCCTTAAAGGCAAAGACCGTTTTGTGTGTTTCATTCACATTGCAGAATTTGGGTTCCCAATTCTCCAGTTTACATTTGCACACACATTCATTGCCAAGTGATTGTGGGAAGGGTGCGCTAGCTGAGGGAAATTTGGGAGAGCCACAACTGCTGGCCTATGAAGCAGACTCAAGCCAGAAATACTGAACTCAGACTATGTGCCTTAAAAGATCAGCAAAATAGTGCCAATCATTCTGGGTGACCTTGGGGAGAAACAGGCAAGCTTGCTATTGGGGGTGAAATTATCTAAGTAGCTGTGGAAGGCAATTTGGTAATATCTAGCAAAATCATGTATACTTTTTCATCTCTTCGCTAACAGTTTTCCCTCAAATTTACCTACACAGTACTTGCAAACTTGCACAACAGTGACCTTCAAGTATTCACCACCCCTATGTAAAAGCCAAAGATTGGGAACAACCCAAAATACTTTGGTAGAAAACCAATGAAATGGAATAATGCCCAACTATAAGTGAGGAGGAAAATAATCTGCATTTATAATTGCATTAAAAAAAAAACACACAGTTTTGGAGAGTAAGGAAAGAAAGCTTTGTATTTTGGTAGAGTATTAATAGGTGGATACATGGATAATTATACGGATAATAATTTTATAATCCTTTAAATGATAGGAGGGAGACATTTCTATCATTTTAAGATTCTCATCCTTAGGATCAATTAAAAACTTGAAAGTCAGTGTAAATATTAGTGTCACCTAAGAAAAGAGCTTATTCCAATAAAGCAACAACCAGTATTCTCCCCTTGGACCGTAGTTCTCATTATATCGCAATTGTTGGCAGGTGTTCAATAATATCCTGCCCAATGCCATTACATTCAAAATGTGCCCAAAGCCATAGAAAACCACCGTGAGGTGACCAAGATCTACTGGCTAGCTCTTACCTGGAAACTGAGATGCTGCTTGCCCACAGTCTACCTCATCTCAAATGAGGCCCTCCCCAGACGATGGAGGCTTGAGCCCCAGTATTGCCTCTGGTCCTGGCAACCAATGATTGTGCCAGGACAGGCCTGCAAGGACCAAATGTTCAAGGCAGACCACCCGTTGTAAATAATCAAGCCCTCTTACCCTGTGGAGCTGTGCCAGCTTCCCCTCCTGACACTCCAAATACGAGGAAATCTATCTATGTCTAGTTCTTCAAAATCAGAGGCACAGTTGTTGTAACAATCATTTCTTGGGGGTGTGGAAAAGAGGAGAATGATCTTTCCTCCAAAATCTTGGGCAGGAGCTGCTTTCTGACCACAAGAGTACTGGTACAGTTCTCAAGGCTGTAAGGGAGGGCGTCAAATGCCATTGTGGTACATGCCTGGGCTCTTGCTCTACTCTCCAAATGAACTTGAACAGTGTGCCAAAATGCACCTTTCTTTCCCCCAGGTACCCAAAATCTCTATGCTGTGTTAAACACCCCAGATTGATATGTAGGTAGGTAAGTGGGTAGCTAGGTCGCTAGGGAGACAGACAGACAGATGTCTTCGTGATGGAGTCCTGGTACGTTTTATATTTTTGGAAAGTCATAACCATTCTTTGTTATCTACTTCTTGCCAGATAATTATCTATTGTGGGCTAGATTTATTTTTATTTCTATGGGATCAGTTATACTGTGTCTGCCTTCACTTCTTCACTTCTGATTTTAGTCTTCTCTATCATTCTGACTTCATTAGAGACAGGTCTGTTGACTTTGGGGGGTTTTCTGAACACCAACTTTTCTGTAGTTGATTGTTCCTATTTTTGCTTCATTCTACAGTTTTCATTTCTGTCTTAGATTTCAATTGCCTTTCTTCTGCTAATTTTGAGCACATAAGGTACTTCATTTTCTTTTTATTTTTTTTTTATTTTTTTTTTATTTTTTTTTCAACGTTTATTTATTTTTGGGACAGAGAGAGACAGAGCATGAACGGGCGAGGGGCAGAGAGAGGGAGACACAGAATCGGAAACAGGCTCCAGGCTCTGAGCCATCAGCCCAGAGCCCGACGTGTGGCTCGAACTCACGGACCGTGAGATCGTGACCTGGTTGAAGTCGGACGCTTAACCGACTGTGCCACCCAGGCGCCCCAGGGTACTTCATTTTCTGAGAGACAAGAATGTGATTTGTGCTACAGCAAGAGATGCTACAGAATTCTCTACTAAGCTATGTGGTCAATGCCTTGTGTGCAAGTTTACATGTCCATGGAAGAAGAAAGTCCTGGTGGTTTCTTCTTAGCTGACTTCCTGATATTCTGATTGATTTTAAGGTGCTATATTAGAAGTTGTCAGTACATTCCTCTGAGAGTAGTACCCCAGAAAGATTTTACTTTTCTCTTTTTTGATCTCAGTCAGCCGTATTTTCACATGGCACCGAGACATTCCTGCCAAAGTCATGCATTGACGCTTCATTTCAAAAAGGGTCATGAGTGGGGCGCCTGGGTGGCGCAGTCGGTTAAGCGTCCGACTTCAGCCAGGTCACGATCTCGCGGTCCGTGAGTTCGAGCCCCGCGTCGGGCTCTGGGCTGATGGCTCAGAGCCTGGAGCCTGCTTCCCATTCTGTGTCTCCCTCTCTCTCTGCCCCTTCCCCGTTCATGCTCTGTCTCTCTCTGTCCCCAAAATAAATAAACGTTGAAAAAAAAATTTTTTTTAAAAAGGGTCATGAGTAGATATAAACACAGTTCCCTTGAGAATGTACACTTAATAACAGAATGGATCAAGGTTGGGCAGAGTGAAGGGCAAAGGTATCTGGGGACTCCTTTTCCAGAGAACGATGATGAATGTAATATATACGGGGAAGTCTTTTATCAAAGCGCCAACCTTATCCACACAGGAGTATCCCTAAGAGAGAGAGTCTTTATAAGTATATTGAATGTGAGAAAATTCTTAACCAGTCTTCCAATGTTGGTGGTCATCAGAGGATTCATGAGGGAAGAAACCATTGCAGAGGGAATCAACCTGGGAGCATGTTTAGTCATTCATCAAGATTCAGTACAGGTCAGACAACTGGTACAGGAGAGGAAAGTTACATAGGTAACGTATGTGGCAAAGCCTTTGACCACCAGCAACTGCATACTGGACAGAAACCTTACGAAGGTGAAGAGTGTGGCAAGAGCTTTAAATTGTGCCCAACCCTTACTCAACATAAGTTAACTCATATTGGAGAGAAACCTTACCAATGTAAAGAATGTGGCAGTGTCTTTAACCAGTTCTCAACCCTTCCAGGATATCAAAGAATTCATACTGGAGAGAAAATGTACCAAGATAAACAAGATGGCAAGTCCTTTACCCGGCCCTCATCCCTTACAAGACATCAAACAATTCATACTGCAGAGACACCTTCCAAAGGTAAACGATGTCATAAGACCTTTAGGCATCATTCACAAGTTTCTGAACATCACAGGATTCATACTGAGGAGAAACCTTATCAATGCAAAGAGTGTGGCAAGGCCTTTAACTGGCGCACAGCCCTTAGGAGACATCACAGAATCCATACTGGAGAGAAATCTTACCAATGTAACGAATGTGGCAAGGTCTTTGGGTACCTCTCAACCTTTACACAACATCGCAAAATTCATACTGGAGTGAACCCTTACAAATGTAAACAATGTGGCAAGGCCTTTCGGTACTTGTCAAACTGTATAAAACATTGCAGAATTCATACTGGAGTGAAACCTTATAAATGTAAAGAATGTGGTAAAGCCTTTAACCGGCTCTCAGCCCTCAAGACACATCACAGAATTCATAGTGGAGGGAAACCTTACCAATGTAAACAATGTGGCAAGGCCTTTACCCGGCCCTCAGCCCTTACAAAGCATTCCAGAATTCATACTGGAGAGAAACCTTACCAATGTAAAGAATGCGGCAAGGCCTTTTCCCGGGCCTCAGTCCTTACAGAACATCACAGAATTCATACTGGACAGAAACCTTACCAATGTAAAGAATGTGGTAAAGCCTTTAACCGGCTCTCAGCCCTTAAGACGCATCGCAGAATTCATACTGGAGTGAAACCTTACCAGTGTAAAGAATGTGGCAAGGCCTTTTTCCGCCAGGAACATCTTGATGTACATCACAGAGTCCATACTGGACAGAAACCTTACCAATGTAAAGAATGTGGCAAGGCTTTTGGGTTCGTCTCAAACTTTATACAACATCGCAGAATTCATACTGGAGTGAAACCTTACAAATGTAAAGAATGTGGCAAGGCCTTTTCCCGCCAGGCATATCTTAATGTACATCAGAGCATCCATGTTGGAGAGAAACCTTACCAATGTAAAGAGTGTGGCAAGGCCTTTAAAGGGCACTCAGGACATACTCGACATCACAAAATTCACAGTGGAGAGAAACCTTACCAATGTAAAGAATGTGGCAAGGCCTTTAACAAGCAATCATCCCTTAGACAACATGAGGGAATTCATACTGGACAGAAACCTTACCAATGTAAAGAATGTGGCAAAGCTTTTAACTGGCAATCGGCCCTTAAGAGACATCACAGAATTCATAGTGGAGAGAAACCTTACCAGTGTAAAGAATGTGGCAAGGCCTTTTCCCGCCAGGAACATCTTGACATGCATCACAGAGTCCATACCGGACAGAAACCTTACCAATGTAAAGAATGTGGCAAGGCCTTTTCCCGCCAAGCACATCTTAGTGTACATCACAGAATTCATACTGGAGAGAAACATTACCAATGTAAGGAATGTGGCAAGGCGTTTAAAGGGCACTCAGAACTTACTCGACATCACAAAATTCACAGTGGAGAGAAACCTTACCAATGTAAAGAATGTGGCAAAGCCTTTAACTGTCATTCGGCCCTTAAGAGACATCACAGAATTCACAGTGGAGAGAAACCTTACCAATGCAAAGAATGTGGCAAGGCCTTTACGCATCACTCAAGCCTTACCAACCATCACAAAATTCATACTGGAGATTGACCTTACCAATGTAATGAATGTGGCAAGGCCTTTTCCCTCCAGGCACATCTTAATGTACATCCCAGAATTCATCTTGGAGAGAAACTTTACCAACGTAAAGAGTGTGGGAAAACTTTTGATTACTGTTCAACTTTGACTGATTAACACAGAATTCATACTAGAGCAAATCTTCTAAATGTTCAGACTATGACAGAATTTCTAAGGACTGCTCCACTGTTATTCCACATCAGATAATTCATAGTGAACAGTAATGATACCCATTGGGAATGTGGCAAGATACCAAAGCAAAGCTTAAACCCTGATTCTTCATCAGAGAATATATACTGGAGATGATCTTACCATTACAAAGAACTTGGCAAGCCTTTTAATCTGTACTCAAGCGTCATCCAACATCACAGAACTCATACTGCAGAGAAAACTTACAAAGAATGTGGTAAAAAAACGTTTCAGCCTGCTCAAGCCTTACTCATTACCATAGTTCCTGTTGCACAGAGACGTTACCAATGTAATGAATGTGGAAAACCTCTAGCTGGACCTCACAACTGTCTCAATATCACAGTTATGATACAAGAGCAAAACTGTAAAATGTAAAGGGAGTGGCCATGCCTTTAACTGGAATTCAATCATGACTCAGTATCCCCAAATGCCTACTTGGGGATAATGTATGAATAAGGGAAGACCTTTTTAAGTATACACTTTGGAAAACAAAACCATACAGAGAGGAAAGTAACCTGAAAGATATAGTTAGTCATCTAATTACCTGAACATCAACTGTCAATAAACGTCACAATTCACAGTAGAAAGGAGTACATCGGTCACTCTATTCAGACATTATTCTCCATAAAAATACTGAACCATATGGGATAAAACAAAGTTGAACACTTAGATATCGAATATGCAGGTATGTCTGAAAATAGACACGGGGCTGTTTTTTGCATAGGAATAAGTAATTTCAACGTGTTTTTGTTTTACCTTGGCCCTCTTTAAGATGTTGACTACAAGTATTAATGTATTTGTGCTCCCAAATCACTTCAGAAAATTCACTGATTCCCAGTGGGTGTTGAAAGTATGTGGCTGATTCTTCCTGCATCAAAGATATCAGATGCCCTTCCCTCTTAGGTGGGACTCCTGCATACCTGATTTTCCATGGAAGATGGAGGACAATATCATGTACAATCTATGAACAAACCTAACTGGAGATGTCACTTATGTTTCTAACACTGATGTAAGTTATTACGAAATGGGTGTTCTGAACATCATTCTTGAACATTTATTAAAACTGAAGACGTTTCTGAATGTTACAAATAAAATGTTTTGTTTATTGGTTTTGTGCAGTCCAGGCACATACTGAGACAAGTTCTTAACGGATGTTTTTGAAGTAGAGAATACCAGGGGTGCCTGGGTGGCTCAGTCGGTTAAGTGTCCGACTTTGGCTCAGGTCATGATCTCACGGTCCGTGAGTTCGAGCCCCGCGTTGGACTCTGTGCTGTCAGCTCAGAGCCTGGAGCCTGTTTCCGATTCTGTGTCTCCCTCTCTCTCTGACCCTCCCCTGTTCATGCTCTGTCTCTCTCTGTCTCAAAAATAAATAAACATTTAAAAAAAAAAAAGAAGTAGAGAATACCAGTTGATGTGGTTGAAAGGAAGAAACCTTCACACTTATCAGAAAGGGAGTAACTAACTCTTCCCTAACATGGCATAGGATTGTACACTGACATCTTTTAAGAATTACCTCAGGTCTCAAAGTGTTCTGGTATGCAAAATTAAGGTGTTAACAAAATAGATATTTATAAGATGTCTCCTTAAAGCCTCCTGGTAACCACAAAGCAAAACCTGTAGTAGATACACAAAACATAAAGAGAAAGGAATCAAAGTACACCACTCTAGAAAATCAACAAATCACAAAGAAAAAGACCAAAGGGATAAGAAAGGGGCAAGTAATTGTACAACAGCTAAAAACGTGGAAAACAATGACAAGAGTAACTCCATCCATACCTGTGTCAATACTTACTTTAAATATAAAGGGACTTGGGGCGCCTGGGTGGCACAGTCGGTTGAGCGTCCGACTTCAGCTCAGGTCACGATCTCGCGGTCCGTGAGTTCGAGCCCCGCGTTGGGCTCTGGGCTGATGGCTCGGAGCCCGGAGCCTGTTTCCGATTCTGTGTCTCCCTCTCTCTCTGCCCCTCCCCCGTTCATGCTCTGTCTCTCTCTCTCCCAAAAATAAATAAACGTTAAAAAAAAATTAAAAAAATAAAATAAAATAAATATAAAGGGACTAAATTCTCCAACCAAAAGATACATTGGCTGAAAGGGAAGAAGTACACAAACTAAGGATACGTGCTGCCTTCAAGAGACTCACTTCAGCTGTAGGAACACACTCAGGCTGAAAGCACAGGTGTGGAAAAAGATCTTCCATGTCAATGGAAAACAAAAGAATGTGGAGTAGCCATGCTTCCATCAGACAAAACAGACTTTAAGCCCAAGACTAAGAAGTCACAGTGCATGTCCTTACAAAATAGAGGGGTCACCTCATGCAGCGTTTTTAGTTATGTGGTGTTTGGCAGAATGGCAATAAGGTGTTCACCCATTTTTGTTTGGGAAGGACACCAAGAGTGTTCGTGTAACTCATGTACTGTTTAACACTTTGAAAACCAACACATTTTTCCATTAATGTTGGTGGTATTTGTGCAGGTATCTGAATTATAGCTTGTGTAATGTTTATGAAAATCTGTACCTGAGGAGTCTCCTAAATGGCTAGTTGATATTCAAAAACCTATTCCTGTGATTTGAGGGTTGGGGGGAAATAAAAGAACAGTGAATGACACTTTGAGAAACACCTATTGCTTCCAGGTTTTGATGAGTGTGGGAAAATGTTGCAATGAAAATCTGGGTACTTGACTGTACCAAGTGACCAATGGTTTTTCAAAACCAACTTGTAGAGGCTAATAAATCTTTTCCACAGTATTCCATTTGCTAACCTCTTGCTTTAATACACTGCATTTTTTTCCTCTCACATATCAATTAATTTGCATTGTTATCTGATGTTTTAAGCCCCCAAATAAGTTATTGGTCCTTTCAGGCAGGTTACCAAATTACCTGTCTGTCAAATTCGTAACATTCATCTCTGAGGACTTTTTCTTTGTATGAAATTGCCAGTCATCACTTTTTATGGATCACCTTTGCAATACTTGTGATAGTGGATTTATTTCATGTTGGGTTCTTTCTGAAATGATAGATGAAAACCTTACATTCTACTTGGTTCACACTTTGTAGACCTCCAGTACCTGTTACTAAAGGTTTTATACATTATATATGTATTCACCAAATAGAAAACAGGAATCCTTTCATGTTGCAGAAAGGTAGCTAATGCATGTATTTAGAATGTGTCCGTGTTACATTAAACCAATAGATTTGTATATTCATGTAGTGTCTGCATTGACAAGACATTTAATTGTGTGTGTTGCTTTTTCTCCTTGAGGTACATAATAATCTTTGTGTGCATCAGATTGTTGTGTTGATGTGGTCAACATTTGGTACATTAGAGTTATTTATTTTTAAAAACTACTTTTGTTTGTTAAATATATATATAGAAATCTTTTATAGTTTTTTTTTAAGAAATATAACCAGGTTTCCCTAAAAAAAAAAAAAAAAGAATAAATAGAGGGGTGCCTGGTGGCTTAGTGAGATAAGCTGCCGACTTCGGTTCAGGTCATGATCTCGCGGTCTGAGTTTGAGCCCCACATCGGGTTCTGTGCTGACAGCTCAGAGCCTGAAGCCTGCTGCAGATTCTGTGGCTCCCTCTCTCTCAACCCCTCCCCCACTCAAGCTCTCTCTTGCTCTCAAAAGTAAATAAACATGAAAAAAATTTTTTTTAATTTTTTTTTAACGTTTTTATTTATTTTTTTTGGGGACAGAGAGAGACAGAGCATGAACGGGGGAGGGGCAGAGAGAGAGGGAGACACAGAATCAGAAACAGGCTCCAGGCTCTGAGCCATCAGCCCAGAGCCCGACGCGGGGCTCGAACTCACGGACCGCAAGATCGTGACCTGGCTGAAGTCGGACGCTTAACCGACTGCGCCACCCAGGCGCCCCAAAAAAAAAATTTTTTTTTAAGAACTAATAGAAACTAAACGAATCAATTCAACACAAGGATAGAACTTTGGTAAATATTTGTCCACACCACGCAAAAGCACCTAAATATAAAGCAACTATTAACAGACAAGAATAGAGAAAAAGACAAGATATATTAGCAGGGGACTTCAATAGTGCACCTTCCCATAATGAGTAGATTATGCAGACAGAAAATCAAGAATATCAGACTTCAATGCCATTAAGTGAGTGTCTTACAACATTCCATCCAACAGGTGCAAGAAACACGTTCTTGTGTACAAATGGAACATTCTGTAGTATATGTTATATGCTGGGTCACAAAATCAATCTTAATAAATTTAAGATTGAAATCCTATGAAGCAGGGTGACTGGGTGGCTCAAAAGTGTCCAAGTCTTGACTGTGGCTTAGGTCACAATCTCAGAGTTCTTGGGTTTAAGCCCCCATCAGACTCCACAATGACAGGGTGGAGCCTGCTTAGGATTCTCTCTCTCCCTCTTTCTGTCCCTCCCCTGCTTGTATGCTCACTCTGGTGCTCTTTATCTCCAAAGGAACAAACTTAAAAAAAAAAAAAAATTCATCAAGTATCTTTTTCAACCACAATGACATAAAACCAGAAGTCATTCAGAAGTACAAAACAAAATAAAAATCTCAAGTGTGAAAACTCAACAAAATCCAACATTCCTAAAAGCCAGGACTTGAAAAACATTTGTGGCCCCTGTCAGAGAAGTAGATAATGTGATGCATGTATAAGGTATATGCTGGCTTTAATTCACAATACTGTATTGCCTATTTGGAAGATGCTAAAGGGAGTAGCTCCTCAAACTTATCACACCCAAGAAATTTCTAACTGTGAGGTGATGGATGTTAACTAGATTTATGGTAAATACTTTGCAATATATACATGTATCAAATCCTT